AGCACACTCATTGCCATTTTGCTACCTGGTATCCTGCCTCTACCACTCATGTCTGAACTTAAATAGATTATATTCCAATCAGCTACTGGTAGAACACCTATTTGGACTCTGACCACGCTTTGGTGAGGGATAAGTTCATCTTGTGTTTAGTCGACCATCATCCTAAACAGGTTGACGTGAGTTGGTGGATACCAGTATTGCAAGTCAATAACAAACAGAGCCAGATTCACGGCTAACAGTGAAACCTCCAGAAAGTGCAGTGGTTGTACCTGCAAATCACCATGTGAATGGTGATTAAATCCAAGTAATGCGTCGAAGAACGTCCCACTACGAAACGCCGGGTTACTTTGAGCTCCTTGAAACTTCCTAACGCTCCTTGGTTAATTCCAGCCTGGTGAGACAGACAGTCTGTGAAATAGTTGGTTAACCAATCAACAACCACCTTAGGCAACTGAAACACTGAACAGAATACTTGGAAATGCAATCCAGTCAGTCTACTGTTCCCAGAATACCAACTTCACTATCTTGTTCTCCATGGTTAGCTATACCAACCCGTTCAACAAATTGGTGGTACGTAAGGATCTAAGTACTAAATCGCCATAAGTCACACAGTCCAGATATTTTATCCTCAGTTCCATCTAAGAATCGAGGTGACAATAGTCAGGAAACTAACTATATTGTTTCAGAGGGTTTCAAACTGTGAATTTTTCGTCGCTATGAAATTAAGCCCTTGTCGTACTAATCTTAATAATGGGTCTTCTCAATACATGCAGTAAGCATCGGGGTATCAATCTACTACCAATGGCCTCTGAAGTATTAGCTGCTATCAAAATTTGTCGGCTTGTCGAGATGCATGAAAAGCTGATCCACAAGCCAGGTTTCTTTCAGGTCATGGATGAAATGGTCGCGTATTCACTCTCTGTCAGGTGCCTGGACAGGATCATACGTTTGGCAGGTTAGTGACCGTTGTGTTTCTAGATATTCGGTCTAACTTCGATTCTTTGGACAGAGATATGCTCTGGAATTGACTGTTACATATAGGTGTTCTTGAGAAGTTTGTTAACTTCTTGGACCCTGTACAGAAACACATCAGATAGCGTGTTGGCATAGTTACCCCCCTCCATTGTTCTGAATGAATAGTGAATTTAGTTATGGCTACTTGATTCCACTTATCGTCCTTAGCTTTGTTGTCAACGACATTGTTGATGTAGCTATGAAGTATGTTTGTGGTGTAAGCATGCCACCAGGTGAAAGACTTTTCTTTGATGATTGTGTGCGACATCATTTTACTTTGCGATAATATTCAGCTTACTCAAACGGGAAGGGATAATTACCCGTAGGTGTAGGATGTGCAAAATCCTTTCACAATATCGGCAGCAGCATGTACTTACTTGCAATCTCCCTTGGCAATGAACCATTAAATGTCTTCAAAAACGTTTTGTACCTGATTTGTTTTCTGAATGCCGCCAGAGATATGTGTGGTTGCTGAGATTATCAACAATATATCCAAAGGTAGAAGGATATGCTGATATCATCGCGAAGTTGGCTGGTCTGCTTTGTTCTACTTTTGCATCTCATAGTTCGAGGATGTTCAGTGATTCTTTTTATCCAGTGTTCGTTGTCCTCATTGAACTGCTAGTACCTGGTATGAGCAAAATATCAGGAATTTTGAATTGTACCGACCTGTTTTTGAACTTGATATATATGCATCTTCATCCACCGAATTATGTCATCTGGATACACTACTTCGACGACTCGGAAATATGTCGCGAATATCATTGCAACGCTTGCTATACTGTTCACCATTTGCTTGTTTTGTGACTAGTTGGAAGAAGGGGTTGGGTGGTCAGTGACTGACTTGTCACTATGCTGATAATTTTGTTCGGCAAGCATATATTATTGCCTAAGCAATTCTTGAATGGGATTTGAGAAATAGCACCACTCTGTGACCTAAAACGGAAGAATACATGCCTCGAAACCGCAAACGATAGCGATAATGCTACAGCTTTCTTGTCGTTTCCAATATCCAAAAATAAAACACAAATAGAGAATGCTTCATTGGACGCATCTTTGAGACTACTGTGCGACAATATACAGTATACTCAAATCACACCCAATCGGTTCATTATTAGAGTCTATAGGTACGTATGTTGAGGTCAGAACTATAGAATTGCCAGGTGCTTCTACAGGATTGGCAGGAGCCTATGTCCGCGATCGCCACTGAGTACCGCTCCGGATAAGACTGATCATATTTCCAATAGTATATCGAAAGCCAGGTGGCTAAAAGAGTCAACTTAGATACAATCGTGAAGCCACCCTGTTTGTAAAAGACCAGGTATACAAAGCCTCAGTTTGAACGCGCTTGCTCAACATAGTCTGAGGATACTTGAAAAGTCAGGATATTCGATCACTGATCTCCGCAGGCTTCCTGGTATAAGGTTGGAATATCATGCAGATAGCTCTGAGATGAAGTAATGTTTCGGGATGACAGATATCTGCATTCATTGAGTGACGTCTTCCTGGAGCTGTTGCTCTAATAACTCATCCGTATTCCACGTTGTACTAGTCTGGTTCACTGCATTTGATATCACTATTATTCACGGGAACTGTTATTATATTATTTCGAATGACACATTTCTCAGTGATCATGTTGCTCCAAGTACATATTAGAATCTGAAAATAAATAACACGTAGTCCAAACCAACACCCAGAGATGCAATGGACTGGTTTCACCCATTTCCATATTAAACCTACTTTAGATAACATAGAACCTCAGGATAGTCAATGAATAGGTATAAACATCATCCACGGTCTAACCACCTCAGCCCACTTTCATGTCTTGCTTAAGACTCTACACCGCTAATTTGATGGCCACACGAAACACCCAATGCTTCTAAGGCAACGTTGGTCGAACACCTAGAACCTCCATGTGTCCTCCACCTTGAATGACCACGTTTCAAAGCTATATGCTAGGACAGAGTATGTTGGACGCTTAGTTGACAGTCGCATATCCATCCGGCTTCATAGATGGTATAAGTTGACAAATTTAATAAACTCTTGTGTATCTATTTCAAGGTTCTGTCGGTTACTGACTCACCAAAGGTGATCCAACAACCGAAGCGAAGTGGTTGATACGCTCGACCACTTGATTTGCTGTTTTCAGATAACGCACGAAAATTTTGAAGCAACTATATGCATTCGAAAGATGAGAAACGAATCACAAACATCCATAAATTGCCATGACATGTGTTCGTACCTCGGTAGCGTCTCAATTTAGTAGACCTACAACGTGGAGGAAAGGAGTCTGCTGTAAATTCAGGTAAGAAAGTACAGATTCATAATTACATCATTTCCAAACCGACAGACAGAGGCAATGACAAAAGAACAATGTAGAACGTCACACAGAAGTGCATCGGTTGAAGTCACGACATTTCGTAACAACATGTGAATCGAAAAGTAGGGAACCCAAAGTAGACAAAAACGTATGCCAGAAAAAAAAGGAACTTATCGAAAATTTTCACTGACATCAGAGTAAACATATCTGCGCATTTGTAATTAATCTCCAAAAATGTCATCTCGAGGATCCCAAACAAGCAGCCTACACCGCTCAAACCAACACTTCATAAACAAGTGCAGTCCTAAGCCTTCTCTCCTACTCCAGCTAACATTAGAAATCGAGAGGCACTGGTTCGGCATGCAAAACACAGCTAAATCACCTCAGTTGCTAAAGATTCATAACTTCATTAACAAAATTACTTGCCTTACCTAGCACCTCACACCCAATCTCAACGTTACTCACATGGCGGATTCATAATGCGCCAGTAATGTCATTAAACACCTGAAGTCAAAAACATATCTCTTCAAATCTTATGCTTTCAAACGCTACGTCTCTAAGTTGTATTATAAAACAGAGTGGGCCACTTTATAACGTCAGATATCTCACTCGCAAGCGCCAAGCAGTCCTTGTGCATCACAGTTAGGATTACGTCAACAACTAACCTGTTTGGGCTGATGCAACTCTTCAAGTTAGCGAAGTGGTCAACGCATTCGACCACTACAGTCATGACCTCCAGAAAACTCTGAATTTAGGCAGTATTTTCATATGAAATGATCATGTCGTCTGTGTACTCACCGTCAACCAAGTGCACTCCCGGGGTTAAGTCAGTCCTGTAAACATGGAGTGATGTCCACCAGCGTGTGTATAATAAATCGAAGCAAGAGTAACGACAGGGGTCATCCCAATAAGAATCCACTGCTGCGTGAGGCCGATAAGAGAGCCTTGGTTAGCGTTACATACTTGTTCAATACTGTCTTCACAGTAATAACACCCTTCGGTCAACAGAAAAGACGATTGCGAGAAGAGGTAAACTGGATGACAGCCTACCAAACAAACAGTTAGATAATTTTATTGAATCCATTTATGAGAAAAATAAGCAGTGCACATACACAGAAGCACATTCTGGTTACAAGTAAGACAGAGACACATACATACGTACATGTGTGCATGTATCAACGAAGTATATAATCAGCAAAATGAAATCAAATAAGAATAAACAACGAAACAACAGTTTATTCAACATGCAAAACATGTTATGAAATGAAGAAAAGACTATAACTCTTCAATGCGATATACTACTAACCATATCAGATTGTGGCAATTATTCTATATGATAAATATATATTTCCAAAAAAGCATCAACTATATAGACAACATACAACCTCAGAAATGATGTACAAAGGAGGGAGAAAATGTTATAGTTATAAACAAACAAGAGAAAAAGGTAGGGATAATCAGCATTATTTAGCACGACAGTTATATGCAATTTCGTTTATCTGTTAAAAAATACATTGAATCAAAAAAAGTTTACTTTTGCTAGTTATTAAGATTGCCAAAATCCTTTGATAAAATGAAAACATTTTCCACAGACGTGTGCATTCCAGTTTTGTTGCGTACACATAGATAGAGACAGATAAGAGCTAAACACATAGAGACAAAAATGTCAAGAACCTTCTTGTCCAAAATCATCGGTAAATTTACGATGTTTAGCTAAATCCTCAGCATTCACAGTTGGCTTGTTCCGTTCTAATGAACTCAACATATCATGCTGCAATGTAAAATAAAAGAAGAATGGATTACAAGTGAACGTCACAAACAATGATGTTGATACAAAATAATTAACACAATGAGTTTTAAAGAATATTATGCTACAAGTAGGCAAACATTCATGCAGTTGAAATGTCAACATACTCATCAAACAAAGAGGTGAAAACAGAGTTATCAGAAAAATGTAAATATAAGCTAATGGACTCAAATAGTGTTATACTTTATCTGCAGTTATGAAAATGAAACATCGTATTTAGCGTCCAGCAACTATTTACTTTATAGGTACAATTTTGTGGCTTGATTGAATAAAATCTTTCAACAATCTTTGACAGCATCCTTGACGCATACAGTTTTCAATGACTAATAACAAACCAATCCACTTCATCTGATCTCAATGTAAGGTAAATAATAAAATTTATCGTCGCTTTTTTCTGTTTACCTTGAAGCTTTCGAGTTTTCACTTTTCTATCTTTCCTATCATCCTGATGCGCAAATGTTAAGTGCAACACTTTGAATTAACACGCAGCAGCACAAGGGGGGGTCCCATGTTGACAATGCAAGCCAATTTGGCCGTCAACCAGATATATTTACTAACCGCTAATCCAGTTTATCTACGAAAATTAGTCTTACCGCTACATACAGTAAATAATGTAATTAATTATAACTAATAACTGGACAGAAAACCGATCAATCGAATTCCACTTATACTGAACGATTATCACCTTGAATTTATTTGATCTATTTATTACTTCTGGCTTTTTCTTTTACATGCTTATCGTATCAGGTATATTTGTTTTAGAGATAAATGACGATTAAAAGCATGCAGTCAGTGTCTTAACAATAACATCACCGAAACTTTAGCTAGTTAATGTCGTGTGACGGTTAAGACATAGATATTTCACAATCAATTCCGCAGATGATACGAAGAAAGAAATTCAACTAACAAAGAATCTTAATCATATACACAGATTCATAATGATTAAAAAACTGTAGACCAGAACAAAGTTTAGAAATAGATATGAATGTACCATAGCAACTGGAGGTTCTTTGAGTTTATCGCTTGGGACTTTTCTCCAGTCCATTTCAATTGCGCCAGAATCTCCAGGGGAACATGGCATTAAAAGATCATGAACAACCTTTGATGGATCAGCAGGACAAGGACCAGAGACCTTCGAAGTAAAATAAAAGACTATTAGCTTAGTAACTCAATATGGAGGATTTCTAGTTATTTTTAACAAATACGCGCAAATATCGGACACCATAACGTAGACAATCGAAAACACTTACTGTACAGCGTATTCACACTCTGTGTTAAGGTCGGCTCAATTGGTATGAGATTATGAAACCTACTCAAAGACTAGTTGTCTCAGTGAGTGACTGATATTAGTGAAAGTATGTCATGTATAACCTGGATTTCAAAATTTGGTCAAAAACAGAAATGATTGTAGACAATCAGAAAGATTATCACCAACATTTATTGTAAATTAAATTGTGTGACGATTCGCAATAATTTTGAAATATTTTGCTGGAAATTAAATAATCATCCGAAGAACAACCCTCGTGAGTATAGGTTGTTTTTTTCACTAGTGATGATTTATGCTACTAGGTAGAATCAAATGGTTTAATCGATTTCAATTGTAATACAAAACAGTGAAAGAACAATAAATTCAATTATTTCAATGGTGTCTTAAGTTTTCCGACGTCCTATCAAGCCAGAAAGGTATATTGGATGCCGGTGATACTAAAAGTTACCTGAAATATCAAAAAACTCCAAAACAACCATGTATAATAATAATACGCAGACAAGCAAAATCAACACCAAACCTGGCATTACTGCGTAATGGTCCAAGTTGCACACCTCATGCCAGCATGTCAAGTAACAAACCACTAAGATCAAAGATAAAGAAAGTCGTGATAAGATGACAAGGAGGGATAAGGAAATACTGAATTCAATATGATGATTAAGATGATAATTACGTGTAGATACATTTGTGCCATTAAGAACGATTCTTAGCCACGTCACAGACAGTCTCCAAACTCGGGTATTTGTTGTCACGCAGACCCCGACGAAGCAGTCTACATCCCCCTACACGCCTGAGACCAACAGTTAAAAACTCCATGCAACGATGTCATGTCTTAGTATGACGTCTACTAACCTTTTTGCAGCCTAAACCTACCTCAGCTGACACTATCCAATGGGGCACACAGTGACTGAGCATGTGTAACACACTTCCCACCCACCTGAACCGACAACGGTTCACAACTTTATAAATCCACTAACCTCTTTGAGTCGAAAATCAGCGCCAGGCTTTTACGTTACTGATGTGATGACACAACGATATATGGCCTATGTTACGAAGGCAACGGTGGTCGAATACTTGTCACCTTCTCATATCCTCCTACTTTTAATGGTCATGTTTGACAGCCACATAGTAAAATAGGGCGAACTGCAGCGCTGTACACTTGACCTTTAGTAAATAATCAGATATTATAGCGAAAGCCAACTCAGTACATATGATTGTGTGACAGACTATAAATCACACTTGTTGTGTGAGGGGCTTTTGATACCACCCGGTGGCCCAAGGTTCAAACATGAGACCTACTGCTTGAGAGTAGAGTTCCTAAGCCAATGAACCACATCATCACAAACCAGTGCCTTCTACTCCTCAACCAATTCACCAACCTTAAGCAGATGTTTCTTGAGCTCTGTCGTCACACACTCGGGTCGAGAGTACCGTATTTATCGACCCACTTTCTTTCTCAGACACCTTGAGACGAGGTTACCTTCAATGGTCTGGGCAGCTGGGAACTATCAACCTCTTTCTCTTTAGAACATAAGTCTCTTCTGACCACCATCAGCCTTTTACATCCTCGCCTCTCAATTTTCCTTCGCACTCCTTCGTTAAAAATTCTTCCAGTTCTGTAGACTTTGGTAACGACCCGATTTAACGAAATATCATCTCTGATTTTCTGAAACTTCAGATATGCCATATTAGCTGAAGTAAACTTAGTTTGCAAAAAGAGGATCCCAATATATGGTATCCCTGAATACTGTTCTGAGCCTCATGGGATATGTATACAAATAATTACCGTTCTAAAGTTCTCTATGGACTAAATGCATCATATTCATCTTAATGTAACCAACAAACGTCTAATTATGTAGATGAGAACTACTATATAGCAAGCATCGAAACTAGTACGACTTCTGAACGTTTGCCAACAATGTTGGCCACGGTATCAAAGGATTTCCCTCGAAAATATTGAACATTAGTTGATGTCCACCACCAGGGGTTGCATTTAGGACCAGTCGTTTTACAGAACACACTGAAGGAAAATAAAGATGAAAAGGTCTTACTACTTTTAATTAGCATTCATCTCGTATATCATCTACCGTGTCAAACAGTTTACTTCCCCTAAAAGACTACCTAAACAATTCCTCAAATCCCTTATTTTCATACGGTCGTGATGAAAAGGTATTTGATATACAATGTCTAATACACCATCCAAACAACAAGAAAACCAGGACCTTGGAAACGAACCGCCACTCATTCCACCTTAGTAACCAATTTCAAACCTAACGTAAGTTTATTTCTGATTGGTCCAAAGTGCTACATCTTTATCGATCAGTGTCAAAAATCCTGAAACAGCTCCTACGTAGAACATCGAAATGGAGACTGAAATGGCTAAATTGTTCATTCAACTTAATTTGCTGGGTTGACTTCTAATAATGTGTGCAAGAGACCCTTGAAACTGACGATCAGAGACTCCAGGTAATAGGGTGCGGATACATCCACATACGCTGTCATTTCAGTTATCCCATCTTTTCAATTCACTGCCTTTCTATGAGACTTTCGACTGTTGCTTCCATTATTTTTCTTTTTATATTTTTGCTTTGTATCTTCATGTACGGGCTGGCAGTGTGGCAACCTGGAAAGTTACACAGCAACACCGAGTTGCATGATATTGATATTATCACAATATGTGAGTATTTTAGGAGTAGGATTCATCAGGTGGCACCACCTAAATTCTTTGAAATTTGAAGATGAATTAAGAACTACCAGTATGAAGGAATGCAGCTATTTAAACCCAAGGCAAATCTACAGAGGATACAAATAACGATTGCAAGAAAAAAAGCTTTACCTTTCATATTGAAGTTTAGCTTCCGCGTAGACCACGGTTGACAGTACAGATTTCTTATACTCACTGGATGTACTAATCTTCTGTTTCTATAATCGATCCTCATTGTGATTTACTTCCATGACTCTTTATCCCATAGTTAAATCTCCTGAACACAAGGCTCTTTCAGGCGTTAGGGAAGTCAATTCGTCATACAAGAACCAGCAGATAAAATGAATGTAGCTAAAAAACGGTCACTCCTCTCTACGGTGATAACGTTAGTTTCTGGGGGAGATACCGAGTTGTTCCGCTCTAGCGGAAATCAACACCATCAATATGCAGAAATTCACCGGATGGGATGCAACTCAATGGCGTTGGATAGTGTACATTTTTTCATCAATAAAAGGGAAATGTCAGTTCGCTGTTAAAAAAAAAAATCCGTTCTATAGAACTTTTTGTTGGTCTGGGCAGATTCTTCAAGCAAACATAGGTGCCTTTGTAGCATTGCTCGTGTGTGGTGAAATTACCATACGTTGAGGTTAGGTGCACAGTACTAGACAATGAAGGAAAGCCAGTTGACAAGGTGATAATAATTTATATGCTGTTTATTCTGAACCACCGACAACTTCGATAGGCGTTGTTAGTCAAGATGGGACTTAGTTGGAAAAGGTGAAAGGTGACTAAAACAAGACGTTGCATCAGCTTATGACAGTTGGTATAAACCACGTAGGTCTTCGCTACAACAGGAATCGGTCGTGGGAAACTCTCCGTGACACGGCTTATAGTCTGTCCCAATGGTCCAAATGTATGTACTCATAGTCATTTTCGTAGTCCTTAACCTTCGTCTATTTATGCTCCCTACTCCCATACATTCATCACAGTTTTCATACCAGTTATTTTCTACCTACCTTTTTTCATGCTGCTGTAAATTGTGAGGATTTGAACTGGTGCAATTTTATGCAAAGATCTGTATCGTTTTTTAACGGAAACATTTGTGTTTTTCTTAACCAGTCATTGAAAATCTCCACCCTAACAGTCGCAGTCAAACATGAAATCTAGAGAGAAGATTGCCTAATAAATCAAATTACATTTGTTATGAAATCAAATAAGATAGATATTGCTGATACAAAAGAGAATGGATTAAGTCCGGTGGACTTACTCGTTTAAAGTGTGTTGACGTCTGGACTTTTCTAACAGGCATCATTAAAGCCTCCCGAACGACAACTGATATATCTGCACCCGAATAACCTGCACTTCTTGCACCTAGTTCCATAAAATCCTTTTCTAAAAGACTGTGAGAAGTGTTCCCCAGATTGCATTTAAACATGGTTATACGTTCTCCTGTTTCAGGAAGGGGGATATAGATACGTTTTTCAAAACGACGACGTATACCAGAGTCTAAGGTCCACGGAGTATTAGTGGCTGCTAATACAAGAACATTTTCCGTATTCGAACTGACACCCTGAAATGGCTACAAGGAAGAGACGAAAAGGTAAACAAAACAGATAAACATGAAAATCATACCACTCACAACCAAAAAGAAGAAATTCCCCGAGCTAACAAACCAAAAGTAAGTTGTACGAAAGTCGGTTCAGTTTTAAGCAGGTACACATGTTATTGGTTCATTTCAGTAAGTTACCGACAAGTAATATGCAGGTTAATACTTTCAAAGTGTTGTAGATAAAAGACTTAATTATTTCACACTGCTTTTCGAGAGTGATAGTGTCAAATAGCAGTAAAATTCGCCGTTCTTTTGAAAAAGGCATGTTTGCATGCTTTTTAATATTGCATGCAATTAAGGTGTAGAGTTCACAAACCATAATATTTTCTAAATATGCAACAACTAAGAAAACGTAACCTACTACTCCGAGGGGATAAGCATCAAGTTATCTTGAAATACTGATCAGAACAAGCTATTTCAACCGTCTTTCTTGAGACAGAATCGTAAACCCATCTTCTTCCTATGTGATTTCACTAGCCGCAAACTTCACCTGTTTCACTGCCTACTAATGCTTATCACCCCCGTCCGTTTTCATTTCTAACCTCTACCGTTAACTACTGCTCGTCGTCATCGTACAGGCGTCTTGTTAGTCTACATTTCAACTGCTTCTGCTTTTCATTGTGCTTTGAACCCACAGGAGTGGACTAATGGGCATCCACCAATTCAATAGAAGCAGATGAATTATAGTAGCACTTTCTGGCATTTTTCTGAGATTCAATAATAGATTTTCAGTCGAGCTCCCAAAGGTCTTTGTCATGACTTGCAATGACCTGAAACACTGAACATCAAATCCTGCTTTACAGCAGGATAAAAGAATAATCAATTTTCAAAATCATGTTCTGGAATGCATAACAATCCTTCAGTGACTCCCTTCAATGGTGATGGGCAGCAATATGACGGAACGCGACAAGTCATTTCATAATACTAACCAAGTATTTTTTATGTACATCCTGAACCTTCTCGAAATAAAAATTTCTCCATACTCAGTCACATTTTTCACTGTGCAACAATTCCATATCTATGGATTGCCTGGAAAGATCATTTTTCAAGTATGCATGATTGTGAAGTTTTAATCAGTTACTTGTTACTCCGCAGAGAAACCGAGCAGTTTCCATGAGTCCTTTCACTTTCATTGCAACAATCCGCAGTGAATCACTCATTGAGGAAAAGTGGTGGGAGGGAGGAGGCTAAAAAGAAGTCAGTACCCTACTTCATACAGTTACCTAACATGAACTGTTGTCAATACATTAAGATCTTCCCAAAAATATACACCGAAATAAATTTCAAACTGATCGAGAATCAGGGTATGCTTTTGGAATAAGACTTATTGAAGTGACTGAGGATAACTAACTAGGGTGCAAAATAGTAGCGGAGTTTTCTGATAATTATCCCTATATACTGTGAGATAAGAACTATCAATTCGGATTATCTCTAATTAAATGATTTCTGCAATGCATATGTTCAGTAATCCGATCTTGAAGTTATACAAATCCCCATCATACTCTTTACGTTCTACCAATGAAATCAGAGAATGTCTATAAGCAACATTAGCATCCATGCTTTGACTTTACGATAAAAGGCGAAAAAAATTCAGTGGGCAGTGTCAAATGGTGATCAACAGAATTGATAGGGCAGTAAACCGTTGATTGGAACAAATCAGTACATGCATACAGGGCTACAAGAAGAAATCTGAAGGTCGAAATGCTTATGGAGTCACTAAGTATACTTGAACACATAAACTTCATCTGAAGGTCTAATCTAGAAAGATGAGTTTGACCTCAGTTTTTTCATATAAATAACAATCTTTGGTTAAAAATTCAGATACAAAAGTATAGTATTTCAACATTGAAGAAAATAATTAGGATAAATGGACGGGAATTAAAATTAGCGTTGAAGTTACGCCTGGTAATTTTCATCATTAAATAGCTGAACAGTCACCAGGAGCTGGCTGACTCAAATCTTACTCCAATGTAAGTTTTCGCTCAACATTATCCACCATCTCTAAATACGTGAGTTACACCAACAAATAAGCAAATGATAGACCAATTCATGATTTTTAAAAATATCTCTTAAGACTGTTAATTCATAAATAAGCTTTGGCAAGTGAAAAACCTACTTGCATCTGAACTAAAAATTCCGTTTTGATTCTCCTCGTACACTCCGGCTCGTTATCATTACGTGATCCACAAAGTGAATCAACTTCATCGATAAATATTATGCTTGGTTTATTTTCTCTAGCCAATGTAAATAACGACTTCACCAATTTTTCAGATTCACCAAGCCACTTGCTGACCAAGTCTGAGCTTGAGACAGAAAGAAATGTTGAATTGTTTGCTTCGGTTGCAACAGCTTTGGCCAGAAGTGATTTGCCAGTTCCAGGTGGCTAAGTTTTCAAATGAGAAACAACCTCATATAGAAACTATGAACTTGGGGGTTCAAACATACTAATCACAATTTGCTGAAAAAATTCTGTAAAACATCAAAACACCAGCCCTCAAAAGGTTTTTGCATCATGAAAACATTGATAACATTACCCAGAAACAAATTACGGGCCATAATATACAGAAATGACAAAACAATTTATGCTCTATAGTTGGCCTACTTTTCATTCATTTTTATGCAAAAGACCGATTTCTATGACACTGTGGATTCAACGTAAAAAAAAGAGATCAAAATTAAATGTACTTTATCCTTTCTAAATAGTGTCACAAACAAGCATAGTCCTGTATTCCGCTGAACGTCAAAACAACAATCAATTTTGACTCAGTGTCGTAGCGGTTTAATTTGTGGTGCTAATAGTGCCGTTAAAAATTAAATGGTGTTAACGCCGTGTCTTCAAATGTTCTGTTAATAAGAGAGTTGAGCAACAAAAACAGGTTGAGTTCCTATCGCAACTTGTGGTCAGTGCAGATTTACGACCCATGTATTGTTGCCAAAATTCTAGTGATCATTTGAACTGCCAATACGCAACTACGATTTTTTACTACAACTATCGATGAATAAGGTTCTGCATTAATCACCTCCTCTCTTTTCGTATTTTTACGACAAATATCACAGCATAGGATCTGGTGTATAGAGGTTCAAATCATCACAAAGGAAGATAGTATCAGACAATCTGCTACAGCTAGAAACCAAAGTAACTAATAGTAGTAATAATCCAATCTCTGATATTGTATTTTGAAAGTAATGCAAAAAAAAGTGCTTTCAGTGCACAATTTTAAAACTGGTCAGTTTGCTTCGCTTAGGAAGATACTACTACTGAACAACTTAAGAAATGTTAGTGCGGACTGTGCAATTCGTAAATGATTTGCAAAAAGCTCGCCTCCCTTGTTTTTTCCTCGTTATTTCCACAACGATATTCAATTTGCGTGGCAAACAACTTTGCTGATATGAGAGTAGAATTTGGGCAGTATAGTCGAGTATGATTTCATTTTGGTTCTTTTTTCTGTGTATCATACAGTTAAACAGTATCACTTACTGATGACGTTTCGAGTAGAATTTATTTTTCATAATCATATTAAGGTGATGAAGAACAATAAACTCTGCTTGACACATCAGTATATGATGCTGATTCCCTGAACGATACATATAAAAAGAACCATAATAGAATCAGACATCATCGCACCTGTTTTACCCTATTTTCTAAAATAATATATGTGACATCGACATACAAAACCGTTGAGGTTGTACGCGTCATGCAACCGGTTCAGTGGTTCATTTACCAGTTCTACTTTAAACTGCATCCGCCCAAAGAATCCATCTATCATGAAATAGGCACCCTGAGCTACAAATATTCAATACCGTTTGAGATTAATCACTGGTCTGTGACTAGTCAGCACAAATTTTCTAGCCATTAGTATACAACATAGTCAGAACAACTTTAACTGTTATTGGCAGTTTCTCACATACATACTCATTTTCGTTTCATCTATGTTATGGTTATTCCCTTAGTTCATCAAGTGACTATATGAGCTACTGTCTTTTACAGTCGTCCAAGAAAAAAACTTTTGAAACCAACACAAAAGCTTAATATGATAATTAACTGTAATGCACTGAGCACAAACATGGATATTGATTGGACATTTGAGGAAATGCACTTGTTCACGAACCTGGTGAGGAGCTTTAAAAGAATCAAGCAAACATAGGTTTCACTAAAGGAATTCAGCAGGACTTGCCAAGTGCTACCCTTATTACTTTCAAAAACATCTTCCTTATGAAATACCAATATTTGTTCCAGTCAGTGGTTGAGCTGTAGTACAATCTTTCGATCAGTCAGCTTTTATTTTTAATGTCCTTCAGTCTGGCCAGTAGTATGATTCTCTTCAGCTTAAAGAAGCCACTGGATTCCCAGATTTTTGAGAGAAATTCAGGAAAGACCCAACTTAAAATACCACGCTATCGCTCCCATCTTTCTTATCTGCAGGAACTGCTCTCTTTCACAGACTGGAAACTTTATGAGGCAGAGCATAGCAAAGCGTCATTTTAAGCTATAAAACCATCATGCCTCTTCACGGATTCGGTGATCATAATGCTAGGAGATGAGCAGTGTAAGTTCCATAAATTATGATTTACTACCACTCAACGACCATTCGACCCAGTGGCTGAATGGTCAACGCCTTCACCCTAACCTGAAGGTCCACAGCTCGATTCCTAGCCGGGTGGTGCGAACGTACTGCTCAGGAGACCAATACTACGACGAAACAGCTGTCCAGTGCTCTCAGACTTAACCTCGTTTCGTTAACCAGTTCACAAGTTACTAGCCGGTCCTAAGCCTGGATAATGAGGGAAGCCCGGACATAGGACTAGCAACCCTACCCCGTAAAAACCAACCCAACTAACTACTAAAGAAACTTCAAAACACAAACAAAATATAAAGACTAAAAATAAACTTTCTCCCCGTTGGAATCGGAGAGGCGAAATGACAACAGTTCGTGAAAGCCTTCGGGAAGCCAAATGGTCGACGATGATGAAAGCGAAAGTAAACGTGGGGACATGGAATGTCCGAACAATGTTTGAACCTAGCAAGGCTACCCAGATTACAAACGAGATGAGAAGGTATAGCACTGGAGTGTTAGGAACCTGCGAATGTAGATGGAATGGAAGTGACCTCTTCAAACTGTCAACTGAAGAGTCAATAATCTACTCCGATGTTGTCACCCAGATGACGACCATGAGCACTGAGTTATGGAGTGGATATCATGATATCCCCAACAGCATCGAAGGCTCTCCCTCATGCAGTGGGAACCGATCTCTTCCAGGATCCGGATCATGACACCAAGATTCAAATCAAAAGGAAGGAAAGTCACAATCGTACAATGCTACGCTACACACCTACAAGAAATGCAGATGGGGAGAAGAAAGAGGAATTCTACACATAACTGCAATCAACACTGGACAAGACCCCATCCCAGTTGGCGACATCAAAATTCATTCTAATGGGTGACATGAATGCCAAACTAGGAGCAGACAACACAGGAAGAGGACTCATCATGGGTCGAGAAGCACTCGGTGAAATGAACGAGAATGGAGAATTGTTTGCAGACTTCTGCGCATTCAACGATTTGCTGATTGGAGTCAGGCAGTGTGTACAAGCACAAGGATATTCACAAGGGAGTGGCACGGATTCCACCAGATGGACACATTAAAAATCAGATCAACATCATTTCAATGTGAAGAAAGTGGAGACGCAGCCTACTGGACACAAGATCAGATCAAGAAGAGAGATGAGCAGATGTAGGCTCAGACCACTCACTGTCTAGTGCATGGAACCTACCTTCAAAATCAAGTTGAAAGCTTTCAAGGAAGTTGCTGATAGACCACAGTTCACGTTCAACACCCACAACACAAAAGGAACTGAAGGATGAAACTACGAAGAAAATCTTCACGTCAGCCAGCCATCAAGACAAAATGGGAGATATTGAGCAACATCCCTGAAGAAACCTGTGTGGATGAGCACTGGAACTCTCTGAAAGCTGTATGGAAAGAAACCTGGATAACTGTATTAGGAGGAAGAAGAAAGAAGACAAGGAATGGATCTCGACGGATACATGGAAGCTGATAGAGGAGGGATGGGAAGATGGTGAAGCAGAAGATAAACCAGTGCAAGCATGATCAACAAGAAGAGGAAATGAGTACAATGTATAAAACACTACACTGGACAAAGAAGTGAAGAAAAGTGCACACAAAGACATTTCCACGACACACTGGTAACTGAAGCACAACAGGCTGCAAGTAAGAGAGACAGAGACCTGACAACACAATATCAAATAACCAGGTTACTATCTCCATCTGGGAGGGAAGAGATCAATACAGATGAAACCAATAAAAGATGATGAAGGAAATTTAATCAACAAAGAAGAGAAACAAAGGAAACGATGGACTGAACACTTCAAAAAACTCTTCAATCGACCACCACCTGCACTTCGTCCAGAAATACCACCTGCAGCCCAGCCACAGAACTACCAGTGAGCACAAATCTTCCAACAAAGGTCGAAGTCCTGAGCGCCATAAAGCTACTGAAATCCGGGAAAACAACAGGACCAGATGGAATCTCGCCAGAAGCACTGAAAACAGACGCAGAGACAACAGCGAACAGGCTCACATCACTACTGCAGAAGGTTTGGAAGGAACCTGTATATTGGAAGAAGGGCTACCTTGTCAAACTCCCAAACAAGGGAGACCTAAGCCTTTGCAAGAACTGGCGCGGAATCACTCTCCTGTCCACCTCAACCAAAATATTAAGCCGCATCATCCTGGAGAGACTAAAAGATGCCCTGGATTCAAAACTACGACCAGAACAGGCTGGCCGAATTCAGAAAGAACAAATCATGTGTGGATCAAATTGCAACGCTATGCTACGCATCATCATAGAACAGAGTATAGAATGGCAGTCAACTCCACTCAACCTCAACTTCATCCACTTTGTGAAGGCCTTTGACAGCGTCGACCGACAAGTAATTTGGCAGTGGCTTCAACACTACGGAACACAACAAACCTTTATCAATCTCATTCAACAACAGCTGTATGCTTTATGATTCTACATGCCAAGCGGTTCACAATGGAAAGCTGAGTGACACCTTTGAAGTGAAGACAGGAAGGAGTAAGACAAGGCTGTTTACTACCACCCATGATATTCCTGATTGTGGTCGACTGGACTGGATCATGCAGTAAACGGTGAGGAGCGAGAAGATGAGCACAAGCTGGCGGGACCGATGAAAGGAGCCTAGAAGATTTGGATTTCGCCAATGATCATTTATGTCTCATGTCATGTCGCACAAACTCGAAGATCTACAGGCAAAAACTAACAAGTTGACAGAAGAGGCAGGCAACGAAAACTGGACTTCAAGTGAACGTAGAGAAGACACAGGTCATGAAGATATTAAACCAACACCACCAACAACAACAACAAGCTCCAATCACCATCAACGACAGAAACTTAAAGGAAGCAGTCTCTTTCACCTACCACTTAGGCAGCATCGTTTCAACTACAGGCGGCACAGGCACAGACGAGGACGTCAAAACCAGCCAAGATCGGAAAAGCAAGACAAGCTTTCACTAATCTGAAATCAGTGCAGAGATCTACTGCAGCCAGCACAAAGAACAAGATCCGCATTTTCAACGTCACGTCAGTGCTTCTGTATGGCTCAGAAACTTGGAGCGTCACGAAAAGCACTCCCAACAAACTACAGACATTCATCAACAACTGCATACGCTGCCTCGATACTGAAGATCAGATGGATTGCCAGAAAGAATAAGCAACAAGGAACTGTGGCTGGCAACGAACCAACCAAGAACCTATCACTCCACAAATATGCAGAAGGAAGTGGAGATGGATGGATTGGGCATACACTGAGAAGGCCGATTAGGGACATCACGCGCCAAACCCCCGAGTGGAATCCACAAGGGAAACGACGAGTTGGGCGTCCATGGCGAAGGTGACATGGAGATCGTGTGAGGAAGAAATGAGAGCTTCTGGGCTGTCAGGGAGCCAGGTTGAAAAGTTTGCAGAGAAGAGAGTGCACTGGAGACGTGCTCCTGAAGCCCTATGTTCCATTTGGAAATCAAGGGACAAATAATAATAATACCATTCAAAAACAGAAACATGGTATCAGAAATTTTTGCCACAAAATGTTAGGAGGTGGGATTAAAAATGGAGATTAGGTACGTCGTTTCCATAACTGATGCTTACTTGAAACGGTTATTTCATATGGTTTCACAACCAGTCTTAGGCAATTAATAATAATTCCCCTCGACACAGCACATGCTTAAGTAATAAAATATGGGCCACACATTGTGTGACGGCTGATGCCACCAGATTTCTTAGAGCAAAAAAAGTGGAGTGGGATTCGAACCCAGGACCCTTTGGTTGAAAGTCCAATCCTTAAGGCAGCTATCGAAATCTTCACTTCAAACAACTAATTGTTGCTATATATCATTCAGAGGTAAGTGGCCTAATTATGAAGCATACCACTGTTCAAAGCATAAAGAGCTGCTCCGGTCATTTCTATTTTCGGTTGTGGCTTTGTTAATCGCATGTGTGGGTTGTAAGTTGTCATCCAACCTAATGTAGTCGGATAAAAGGGTAGCCAATACCCATTGTCTTCTATCCAATGAATTATTATGGTGTAGAAAATAGCAGTCATTGAGCTTCATAGTCAAATGGTATATTAAAGTTTATTTCATGGTTATAACAATAGATATGACAATTTGAAAAAAATTACTGGAGGTGCCAAAAGAGTAGACAAGTGCCTCTGATTATGCTTAACAATGAATACACTATGTTTCAATCGAAAGCATGTTCCCAAGGTATACGTACACCTGAAGAGTTGGCAATAGTGACAAAAGGCAGTTTGCGTGATACAACATTGCTAAAATGATATTCTTGAGGGCTAATTTTATTCAAGCTTACTGATTGTAATAGTGGCGTGCAGTCAAATAATTCGGTAACTAGCTTTCAACTCAAGTATTTTGTTATAACAGTGGTTTGAAAGACCTATTAGATGTAAAGTTTCGGTTTCATCCGTATTTAAACTAATGATTGGAACTAAACAGGTCTAAGTGATGTAGAAAAACCAAATATACACATCTGACCTTTTAAACTAAAATATCAGTGGCCTGAATCTTTAATTCGTAATCCCACTTCATCGAATTCGATCCGACCAGTTGGATATTGTCATCCAACCCTAAAAAAGCTTCCGACTGTAAGAGGACTATTCTCCTTTTTTTAGAATTCCATTGTTAAGTGACACCTAGGAGTGATGTTATTTTTTTTAATCGGTATTAACAGAAAACTGATAACTGTCACAACTTACGCCATATAGGAGAATACCTCTCCAGGGAGTGCGTTTCCCAGTGAATAAATGTGGAAACTTGATCGGTAAATCACTGCTTCTTTTAAAGCTTCTTTCGCTGATTGTAAGCCAATAACATCATCCAGCTGACATTAGGTTTCTCAATCACTATTGCTCCCTGCAACTGAGTATGGAAACGTGAACTTTCTCCATCTTCTTTGTCGGAATCATCTCTTTTCTTTTCTTTTGTACCACCAGAATTAGCTTCCTACATACAACAATGAGTCTTGAACTAAATCCACATGATTTTTTTCGAGTACATTAAACAAGTGTTAAAACAAATACTCAAGAGCATTTTACAAACAAACTCAGAATCTTTACACATCTAAGGATGTTACCACTAAGATCAAAAGTGATAGGTAAATCGATGTTTTCATAGAATGAATTACTTAAAAACGCAGTTCATACTGATAGGTATAATTGCTATGCAACAAATACTTGCAGACATGTTAATAACACACGAATACCAAATTTTGTAATGTTATTCACAAATATATGAATCCCATTGTACTTCTGAGGGTGAATTAACAACAGCAACACGAAATTAAGGTTCCCTATTTATAAATTACTTTAAAATTACTTAATTTACATAGCTTAAAAACTCATTCACAGTTCAAACTAGTGAACAGATTGCAAAGTAAATGTAGACAGACGATTTTTAGTATCCTACGAGTGGAACCTAAAGCTGCTGAACCGTTTCAATTCCAGTACCGCGTCAAGAGGAAGTATTATTGCTAATTCCCATACTAATACATTTTGCATATATATTTAGATTCTCCCATAGTAAATTATATCTTTACACCTAGAAGATTTATAAAATGCCAACGTTGCAATAAACACAACGTGGACGGTACAATCATCAAAGTATTTTAAAAACTAAGTCACCTCAATATCGTCTCTTGATGAGTCTTTATTCTTGAAACAGACATAACCCTGAGCTCTGCTCCGTCACATATAAATGGGTGTCCTAGTACTATTTCAGTACACATCAGTCAAAACAAATGAGTTTGGACTGTTAATTCATTTTGTGTATTACTTAAACACGTATACAGAAATGAATAAGTGGAAAAACAAAAACTTTTGCTTCATAAGCTTGTTATATCGGTTCTTGGTCCAACCCATCTAGAAAGTGTTGTCATGAACTCTATGGTTAGCATATGATAGATAGAAAAAAAGACGCGATTCGATCACCTCATTGCTAAAAATCTTGTAACTTATTAAGTAGAGTAATAGATATAATGAGAACTCTTGATGGTGTTATGTAGTTCTATATGATCCAATTACTCTCAAAGGTTTTATGTGTAGTATATATAACAAGACAGCCCAGTAACCAGTCCCTCATCCTTACCTTCTAATTTTCTTCTACGTCTCTGTTAACAATCCCACATCTTTAATTTCTTCCAGCTCTGCAGCTTTTGACAACGATCTGAGTCCACAGAACAGCATTCCTGGTCTCCTTAAACCACACTCCAAATAATACATTTGAGCCTTCAATGTCTGCGCCGTTCGTCAGCTTGGCCAACAAGTTTCATCGGTCAAAACTCTGGCAACTCGAGCTATGAATGTGCTGTGGTTGTGGGACACACACACATGACCCAAGTGCAGTTATTCACTTAACCCCTCCCGGTCAATATGGTAAACTTACAAAATTCCCCCTTCAAGTTTCTAGAGATTCAGTGGCCAGTTCTCGAAGTCTTTCAGGTGTAAGCATAGCAACTAACATTAGGACAGAAAGCTCACGACTAGACTGGATCCCAGCTGACAGTCCCCTTAAGACTGTCCAGCTGGACGACACAGTGAGAATTAAAGGGAATAGTGAAACTGCCTGTTGCCTTTTTGTGATCTTTGCTTAAGCATCCACTGACTAAAGTTCAGAACAAGTGGAGGATGAATTCTACCGAACTCTTCTAGCCTACTTCTGAAAACCAAAGGCTAAGACGTGGTTGTTACTACAGGTGATTTTAACGCACAAGTAGGTAGGTTGTGTCAGGCAGGACACCTAGATGACACTTTCGAAAATGGCTGAACCAACAGATAACGGTGACTGCCTACTACAACTGTTTATTTCTGGCTAGCACAAACTTCAGATATAAAAAAGACATCGTCTGACGTGCCGTCCACCGAGTTAAACTCAGAGATGGACACAGATAAGCCACATTGCTATTAGTCATCACTGGAGAGGGTTGATGGGAGACTACCGCTCCTTCTGAAGAACGTGTTGGGATAGCGACCACCTGTTGGTTCAAGAGAGTATGCCTGAGTCTCAATAGACGTAGAAAAACTTTAGCGGCAGTACCATTACGAATGGGGCTCGATAATGAGACCACTAAGGCCGTTTTCAGTGAGAAAGTGACTAGGTAGTTATTGGAACAAAACACTATCACTCTTTCAGAAGTCCAGTGTCATCCACAGTCTGGTGTAAAAACAGAGCTGAAGACCTTAGCCGACTCTCAGAGTGATTACAAAGAGTCAGGGGATATCAGCAGCTTCTTCCGAATTAATAAATGCTCCTGAACACAGCTCTGCAGGCTCTGAGTAAAATGAGGAGCTAATGGAACTCAAATGTAGACTAACAGAAGTCTACACAATAACCACAAATAGTGGTGAGCATCGAAGATTAAGGAGATGGAAAAGGCGTGGCGATTGGTAACAGTAGACAACTATTCACTCATTAAGGTCAACGGTTAGTGAGACTATAAAGTAGAAGAATGGGTCTGCGATCTACTTGCAGGGAGACGAATGGAACAATAGACAGAACACTTCGAGGGATATTTCAACTGCCCTCTAGCTACTGGAGCGTTGACCGCTATCCAATCGGATCCTAAACGAAACATTGAGATGAGCCCCCCAATACTTGCAGAAGTCTAGAAAGCGGTATGTAACCTGAAACGAGGAAAGACGGTAGAACCAGAAGGACTAACTCCTGAGGTATACAAGGATGATGGTAAGGTGCTCTTAGTCAGGTTAACGGAAGTGTTAACCACTAAATGGGAATCAATACGATCCCCTTTAACTGCTCTCAATCATTGTCTATGGCAAGTTGTCCAGGGAGCTATACTCATCGAGTGGTGTCCGTCAAGGATGCCCACTATCTCCATTCTTACTAAATTTCATCATAGATATTCTTATGGAGGTTTCCCTCTCGTCATCTAATTACACAGGCGTCGACCCCATCACAGGTGAATTTTCTTTAGATCTAGAATATGCAGATGAAATAGTCCTGTTAGGTGAAGACGCTGACAAGATGCAGAGTCTTCTGAACACTGAGATCTCTGCACGGATACAAAAGGCTCGATTGGCTTTTGCCAATTTGCGCCACATATGGCGCCGCCATGATATCCGTTTGTCTATTAAGGGTCGCGTGTACTGCACAGCAGTCCCCTCTGTTCTACTGTATGGCTGTGAAACATGGCCATTGAAAGTGGAAGATATAAGAAGGCTTCAAGTGTTTGACCACCGTTGCCTTCGTAGTATAGGACGTATTCCGTGGTGTCACCATGTGAGTAATGCAGAAGTCAGGTGTAGAGTTTTGGGGAGAAGAGGTAAGTCAGTTGACGAGGTTGTGAACCTTCATCGACTGAGATGGTTGGGACACGTACTACGTATGCCTAGTCACCGATTGCCTCATTACACAATGTTGGCTGAGGTGGGTCCAGGCTGGAAAAAGGCCCAAGGTGGCCACACTAAAACATGGCACCAATGTATGAAGTCTCTGACTGTTGGTTTAAGCCATGTAGGACGATGCAGACTAGGTGGTTGGGGTCCGCGGGACAAGAGGAACCAGTGGTTGGAGACCCTAGGTGATATGGCTCAGAACCGAAGTCAGTGGCGCAGATGTATACACACATTATCCTCATCTTAACAACGCTATACCGAATCTCACCATTTTGTCGCTCCTCTTTCTTTTATCCTCGTACTTTATATTTCTTTTGACTGCATTCACTTATTTTCATCCTTCACCTCACTACCTTTCTACTTGATGAACTGACGTGAGGTGTGGCAACTCGGACCGTTACGCAGTAATGCCTGGTCCTATGTTGATAATGATTGATTGATTGATTGCTCTCAATCGTTGATTATCCCAGTGTTCAAGAAAGGCGATAAGCCCTCTTATGATAACTACAGAGGAGTCAGTCTGACGAACATAGTATCTAAAATTCCAGACTCTATAATTCTTCGACGCATGAGTGAAGCTCGAGAACAGCAAGCCCGAGAAATCCAGGCAGACTTTAAACGAGGAAGGGTGGCAGGATCATATGAACTAACTCTCGAGGTAAACAAGGATGTTGGTAGAGTGCCCTTAGTCAGGTTAACGGGGTCAAATACGATTTCCTCTGACTCGTCTTCAAGAAAGGCGAGAAGTCCTCTCGTGATAACCATAGAGGAATCAGCCTGACGAACATAATGTCTAAAATTCTAGGTTTTATAATCATTCGACCCCTGAGTGGAGCTTGAGAACACCAAGCCCAAGAAAACCAGGCAGGCTTCAGACCTGGCTATGGGTGTATCGACCAAATATTCACTCCAAGTTCTGGAACACAGACACACTTACCGACGCCAAACACTAGCTGTATTTCTCGACCTGGAAGCGGCATTTAACTCCGTCGATTGAGAAGTCTTATGGTGTTCCTCGCCACCCAAATGTACATTATTGCGCCGCAACTGGTCTTCAACGGTGCCCTGGCTGACAATAGAAAGTGAAGTGGTTGAGTGTGTCGAACACCACTTAACTGGGAAGTCGGATCAGCCCTGGTGGTTTAATGCCCGAAGAAAACTCCGCATGGATACAAAAGGTTAGGTTAGTTTTTGCCAGCTTACGCCATCTATGGTGCTGCCACAGTATCCAACTTTCTATTAAGGGTCGAGTGTAATGTGCTGCAGTCCACTGCGTTCTACTGCATAGCTGTGAAACATGGCCACTAAAGGTAGAAGACATGAGGCCTCAGGTGTTTGACTACCGTTGTCTTCATAGCATGGGCCGTGTTTTCGTGGTGTCACCACGTGAGCAACGCAGAAGTCAGGTGTAGAGTTTTAGATAGAAGAGGTGAGAAAGTTGGTGCGAGTGTGAACCTTTATCGACTGAGATGGCTTGGACATATTTCGGATGTCTAGCCACTTAGGGTGATGCAGACTAGCCGGTCGGAATCCGAGGAACAAGAGAAACCAGTGGTTGAAGACTCTAGGTAACATGGCTGAGAACTTATGTCAGTGGCGCAGATGCATACACACTATCTTCATCTTAACCACCATAATTAATCTAATCACTTTCTCATTTCTTCTTCCTCTCTTTTACTACTTCCTACTTCTTTTGACCGACTTTCCGTTACTTCATGTTCCATTTTATTACCTTGTTACTAGATATCCTGACATGAGGTGTGGCGACTTGAACCGTTACGCAGTGTTGCCTGGTCCTTTATTGATTTTGATGACCAGTAGTCCGTCTGTGCACCCTCCCCCCCCCACATATGAATTAAATCTATCATATAATAACTACAGATACTAATCGATTCATGTAGAATCAACACATGAGGCAGAATCCGAGTTTGTGACACCGCTGGACAATCAACTACGTTAACCAACAAACAGCTTTCTGTGGTTTGTCTATACCTCCTAAACCACTGCAAAGTGGCACGACAACTGTTTGTAGTAAATTTACTGCACCATGCTCATTACACCTGCTTCGCACGTTTGAAGCAATAAACAGGGGGATAAATGGTCAGTTCCATTCTAATAAATCCACTGCTACTTCACATAACTATAAATGTCGAATCTATGCATATGCCCCTTCAACAAGAATTAAGTAGCCAGTAAGGTTCATTATCATTCATATATCAGATTTAGCTCACAGCTTAGTAACAAACATGTAAATAGTTACTGACGGCTATATCGTTGAATACTAATTCAAAGTTTTGGCCATAAACGCCCACGGCAGCTGCGACAAACCCTTTATTGACGTACATGAATTCCCAACATATACTGTCAATCATCAATTTTTGATAAGCATCAACGTGTTCTACTCCTTATATGCAAACTGACACCAGTTACCACTGAAATGACCCTACTAAAAACTTCAGCTCTTTCGAGTATGTTTGAAAACCAACTACGCCATATTTCCAGTTTATCTATTGAGCAGCTGGACCCAGAAAAAATGGTACGTCAACACGGTAATTCTCCCTGGCATGTTACAGTGGAATTAGCTCAACAACTAATGACTCCCCAAGATCGATATAGTGGTAAAACCGAAAAACACCCCGTAAACGACTACTTCAGTCAAAATATAAGATTTGTGATTCTGATGTTCTATGAGCTAAGAGGTGTGATGAGATACGTATCGATATAATTATGGCGACTCCAAAGCGTATACTTGCCATCAGTGGCAAAGCATAAGAAATAAATTTAGAAACAAAAGCTCTAAAGACAACTGGTAATGCATTTGCCGCGTAACTTTCTGTGAAAGCTTGATAACTGGCCAACCACAGCAGAAAAACTGGCCTATGAAATAGCGTAGATAACAAAACCAGATATTAACAAACAGAGTATGAACCCTTCAAATACTAGTGGAAAGAATGATAGGTGCTTGTTAGTAAGGTTCTCCTAGGACTAAGTTTGCGGCGTAAGTCAACTGGCACACGTTTATGCACTGGGCTAAGCCAAACTTGTGAGGCCCTAAAATACTACCCGACTGCCTACGTCAAACTAGCTGGAGGACGTTCGAAACCAAGATTCGACGACACACTATATAAGAAACCTTTAATCGTCAGATAATTGCCTGATACTCATCCAGAACAAGAAAGTTAGGCAAATATCTCATTCGGACCAAAAAGCCAATGACCTCAAACCCATGAAAAATAAGACCACTTTGGGTCTCCGAGCTTGCCAAGTAAGTGAGGCTAGCTGAATTTACACTCTGCGTGATTTACCTTGATAAGTTTGTCGATATCTCTATCGCTAGTAAGTTAACTAGATGGACGCAAAGGTTCCTTTTAGAGGTTTTGAAGTCGAAGTTTTATGCACAGATAAACTGGAGTTGTTTGTAACATATTACCATTTGAGATGTTACGATAAACTTATCCTAATTCAAGGTTACAGTGGAAGCACAGGCAGGTTGGGATAAGGTTGGGTTGTCAGACCGAAATTCAGCACAAATCTAGCAGACAAATGACTTTTTGATTCACGTAAACTATTATTATCTACAGGCGGGACGGACGAAGACGTCAAAGTCAGAATCGGAAAAGCAAGACAAGCGTTCATTAGCCTGAAACCAGTGTGGAGATCTTCTGCACTCAGCATGCGGAACAAGATACGGATTTTCAACACCAACGTCAAGTCAGTGCTCTTGTATGGCTCAGAGACTTGGCGCGTCACGAAAGGTATTTCCAATAAACTACAGACATTCATCAACAACTGCTTACGCTCGCTGCTGAAGATCAGATGGCCAGAAAAAATAAGCAACAAGGAACTCTGGGAACGAACCAACCAAGAACCTATCACGCAACAAATATGCAGGAAGAAGTGGAGATGGATTGGCCATGCACTGAGAAGGCCGACTGAGGACATCACGCGTCAGGCCAGTCGCTCGAGTGGAATCCCCATGGGAAGCGACGAGTTGGACGTCCGAGGGTGACATGGAAGAGGTCGTGCGAGCAGGAAATGAGAGCTTCTGGGCTGTCGTGGGACCAGGTTCAAAAGATCTCAGAGAACAGAGGTTACTGGAGGCGTGCTACTGAAGCCCTATGTTCCACTAGGAACCCAAGGGACTAATAATAATAATAATCTATTACAAATCTGTATGTGAAACCTAACGAGCATGGTTGGTAAAACATCAATGAATTACTGTCACAGGGTCACGAATTCACAAGCTAGGTGTCTCTCCTTCTAATCCTTAGAGACAATATAGAACGAGGCAACCTCCACCTACCAAAGTCTCTAGGAAACCAAAGCATGAAAGGGTACGTGCAACCAAGAAAAACCACAATATGCTATGTGACGATCAAATACCGCATACTCCGTTTCGCATAAGATTACGATACTTAATCAAACCCTCGAATGTCAGTGAAATGAACGGTAAGTACTATAACTAAAACCGCATGAGGTAGACAAATTAACTCATGAAGACAATATCAGGGTCAAGTTGGACTAATGCATTTGATGTGCAGACTCGACAAGTTAAGCTTCGATAACCCTGAATACACCACACGCCAATGTTTAGTGACCAGCTGAAGTGCCGTAAAACTACTTCGGAAGATTGAAACATAACATTAAACGGTTAAGTCTGAAAGATTAGACATACAGTTTTCTCACGGGATTTTGATGTCATGTACTTCTTTATCTGCTCTGCCCTGTCCAAGTATCGTGCGCAGCTGGACTGAATTGATTCCTTTGCTCTTTCGCTAGGAGCCTCATCTAAAAACAAACTAACAACAGCTGGAAACTTACATTTGATTGCATGGATAAAATACTCGATTGCATGTTCGTACAACTTAAGTGCCTCTTCATAATTTTTTGCCTTGTCCTCAGTTGTGGCACGAGTGACCAACTCTATTCCTTTCTAAAGTGAATAACCATGATAAGTAACCCCACAACCCTTACATTCAGCGACATCAGAGTCGGGAAACAACTCGAAATGCCCTCGCTCTCAAAAATATGATATATAGTAAGTTAAACTAGCAACACTTCAATCTACAATTGACACTTTTACAATATTATGAGACAAATAAATTTGGGTTCTGAAGTGATTTTTTGGTTGAGAAAGACTCTCATATATGTGTGAATCAATCGATCTTAAGAAGATAAGCTTTTTGACAGAGGGAGGACTGGAATGATATAGGGAACTTTAAAAATTAACTTTTCACCTGATCTATCTTTTCTGTGTCTTCCTACTAGACTAGAACACCTATGAGTACATGATGGAAGAAAAAAAGAAAGAGCTGAGCTCAATACCATGGATTGCTAGTTTTTTAGTCAGCCAATCAACGACAGGAATCGACTCTTGGAAGAAGTAGGGGAGCAGCCAACAACTGACTCATTGGATGACATGCTGGACCAAAGCAGCTGCCCATCGGAAAATGACAGCAACCTTCTGCTTTTAAGCAAAAGATAGTAAAAATATCGCCTTCACGGCTGAGAAACGCCTCACAATACTCGCTTGCAAATATAATGACTTAACTTAGGACTTCGATTCACATTTTGTCTCAGGAATGGGTGGATGTGAGCCCACGTTAATCATTTCCCATTGCATTTCTACTTTTTTCTGTTCTCCTAACTGAAACATGGAGCGGCCGGGATTTCAAATCTTCCGATAGTCTGTATTGAAGGTTGGTTATTGGAGCTGAATGCCGAAGTTTAGCAGCCACGAACGCTAGCTAACCCTTGCCATTAGCACTCCATTTCTTGATTTGGTAAATGTTGCGACCAACTGTAAGGGAACCTGTAAGATGGCTTCTGTCTGAGACCATTTAAGTACGGTGTGGTAAGGTGTCCTCTCAGTCTCTTATATGATAATGAGGTAAGTTACGTCTTCTTAAGTCACTACTCGTGTGTGTGTATAAGCCATCATCAAAAGGATCATAACAATGGTTTTAATCTGAACACTTTCCATGGAATATCAATCAGTTTCCAAGAAAGATGCGTCTTCTTGTGTACAGTTGGCTACTTATTATCCATTATTCGTTCATTGGGTACCTGGTGGAACATAGGGCTCCAGCAGCACGTCTCCATTTCACTCCGTTCTCTGCAGTCTTTTGAACCTGCCTCCACCACTGCCCATAACCTTTCATTTCTTCCTCACACGATCTCCTCCATGTCACCCTCAAACACCCAACTAGTCGTTCCCCCTTTGGATTTCACTCGACCTCATGCCTTGGCACCTGATGTCCCCGAATGGTCTTCTCAGTGTATGCCCAATCCATCCATCTCCACTTCCTTCTGCATATTTGTTGGTTGGTTCGTTGCCAGGCCAGAGTTTCTTGTTGCTTATTCTTTCTGGCCATCTGATCTTCAGTATCGAGCGTGGGCAGCTGTTGATGTATGTCTGTAGTTCGTTGGAAATGTTTTTCGTGATGCGCCAAGTCTCGCAACCATCACATAGAAGCACTGACTCACTTGACTGAATTTGTTGAAAATCCGGATCTTGTTCTTTATGCTGAGTGTAGTGCAGTAGATCTGCACACTGACTTCAGGTTAGTGAAGGCCTGTCTTGCTTTTCCGATCCTGGCTTTGACGTCCTCATCTGTGCCGCCGCCTGTAGTTGAAACGATGGTGTCTAGGTAGGTGAGAGAGACTACTTCGTTTAGGCTTCTTCCGTCGATGGTGATTGGTGCTGATTGTTGTTGGTTGGGTATCTCCAACACCTCTGTCTTCTCTACGTTCACTTGAAGCTCCGTCTTCGCTGTCTCGCCTCTTCTGCCAAATCGTTAGCTTTCACCTTAGATCCCCGAGTTTGTGTGATAACAGACATAATTCGTCGGCGGAATCCGAATCTTCTAGGGTCTATTCATCCATCAAACAGCTTATCCCCATTTTCTCGCTCCCTACGGTTTGCTGCATGATCCTTTCAAGTCCAGTTGACCACAATCAGGAAGATCATCAGTGATAGTAAGCTGCAAACTCGTCTCACCCCTATCTGCTGTCTTCACTTCAAAACTTCACTGAGCTTTCCATTGTGAATCATTTGGCACGTACCGTCATATAGCATATAGCTGTTGAATAAGGTTGATAAAACTTTGTGGTACTCCGTAGTGTTGAAGCAGTTGCTTCTCGATCGATGCTGTCGAAGGCCTTCTCAAAGTTTATGAAGTTGAGGTAGAGGGTTAACTGCCATTCTATACTCTGTTCTATGATGATGCGTAGCATAGTGTTGCAATTTGATCCGCACACGATTTAATCTCCCTGAGGTTAGCCAGCCTGTCCCCACCGTAATTTTGAGTCCAGTACATCTCTCAGTCTTTCCAGGATGATGCGGCTTAATACTTAGCTGGGGGTGGACAGCAGAACGATTCTTCGCCGGTTCTTGCAAAGGCTTAGGTCTCCCTTGTTTGGGAGTTTGACAAGGCAGCCCCTCTTCCAACCTACAGGTACCTCTCCTTCCTTATTCCCAAAACTTCTGCAATAATGGTGTGAGCATACCCGCTGTTGTCCCTGTGTCTGTTTTCAGTACCTTCCGTGGAATCCCATCCGGTCCCGTGGCTTCTACCGATTTCAGTAACTTTATGGCCTTCAGGAACTCGACCATTGTCGGGGGTCATGTGCTCACTGGTAGATCTGTTCCCAGCTGCCTTGATCTCTTCCCAGATAGTAACCTGGTTATTTGATATTGTGTTGTCAGGTCTCTGTCTCTCTTACTTGCAGCCCGTTCTGCTTCACTTGCCAGTGCCGTAGTATCGTCTTTCGTCCTTCCGCGCACTCTACTTCACTTCTTTGTTCAGTGTGGTGTTTTATAGGTTTTGCTCAGTTCCCCTTTTGTTGTTCATCCCTGCACTGCACTGCACTGCACAGGTTCATCTTCTGCTTCACCATCTTCCCATCCCTCCTCTATCAGCTTCCATGTATCCGTCGAGATCCATTCCTTGTCTTCTTTCTTCCCTCCTAATACAGTTATCCAGGTTTCTTTCCATACAGCTTTCAGAGAGTTCCAGTGCTCATCCACACAGGTTTCTTCAGGGATGTTGCTCAATATCTCCCATTTTGTCTTGATGGCTGGCTGACGTGAAGATTTTCTTCGTAGTTTCATCCCTCAGTTCCTTTTGTGTTGTGGGTGTTGAACGTGAACTGTGGTCTATCAGCAACTTCCTTGAAAGCTTTCAACTTGATTTTGAAGGTAGGTTCCATGCACTAGACAGTGAGTGGTCTGAGCCTACATCTGCTCATCTCTCTTCTTGATCTGATCTTGTGTCCAGTAGGCTGCGTCTCCACTTTCTTCACATTGAAATGATGTTGATCTGATTTTTAATGTGTCCATCTGGTGGAATCCGTGCCACTCCCTTGTGAATATCCTTGTGCTTGTACACACTGCCTGACTCCAATCAGCAAATCGTTGAATGCGCAGAAGTCTGCAAACAATTCTCCATTCTCGTTCATTTCACCGAGTGCTTCTCGACCCATGATGAGTCCTCTTCCTGTGTTGTCTGCTCCTAGTTTGGCATTCATGTCACCCATTAGAATGAATTTTGATGTCGCCAACTGGGATGGGGTCTTGTCCAGTGTTGATTGCAGTTATGTGTAGAATTCCTCTTTCTTCTCCCCATCTGCATTTCTTGTAGGTGTGTAGCGTAGCATTGTACGATTGTGACTTTCCTTCCTTTTGATTTGAATCTTGGTGTCATGATCCGGATCCTGGAAGAGATCGGTTCCCACTGCATGAGAGAGAGCCTTCGATGCTGTTGGGGATATCATGATATCCACTCCATAACTCAGTGCTCATGGTCGTCATCTGGGTGACAACATCGGAGTAGATTATTGACTCTTCAGTTGACAGTTTGAAGAGGTCACTTCCATTCCATCTACATTCGCAGGTTCCTAACACTCCAGTGCTATACCTTCTCATCTCGTTTGTAATCTGGGTAGCCTTGCTAGGTTCAAACATTGTTCGGACATTCCATGTCCCCACGTTTACTTTCGCTTTCATCATCGTCGACCATTTGGCTTCCCGAAGGCTTTCACGAACTGTTGTCATTTCGCCTCTCCGATTCCAACGGGGAGAAAGTTTATTTTTAGTCTTTATATTTTGTTTGTGTTTTGAAGTTTCTTTAGTAGTTAGTTGGGTTGGTTTTTACGGAGTAGGGTTGCTAGTCCTATGTCCGGGCTTCCCTCATTATCCAGGCTTAGGACCTGCTAGTGACTAGTGAATTGGTTAACTAGGTGTGGTAGTATAGTTTTGCTATCTTTTTTATAGTCACTTCCTGGACAAGGTTGTGAGTATATCACCAGCGACCTTAATAATTATTTGGTGTCGGGTTTGTTGCTAAACTCTTCTGTAGGATAAAGTTATTGCTAGTTAGAAGCGAGGGTTGCGGAATCCTCCAAGTTTTTGCACTTTGCCGTTCCTATGCACGGTTAACTACATCAATAATACCAACCAGGTACCCAGGCGACCAAACTATTGGGCCAATCTACAGTGTGCGTAAACTGTGATTACCCTTCTAAACCTGACTTATTTTCACATGACGAGCATGGAAGATCACAGGATATTTATTGACTCGTCGTCGGTCACTATAGTGTGGGAACAGTATTAAATAACCTACAAAGTTATGCGGCACTACGCCGTGCATCCACTTCCAGTGGTAGAGTTAAAGTTTCATAGCGTCACACGCTTCCCCATATCAATAGCCTAGGGTTTGACGACTTTCGACATTGATGCTGACCATGATAGTTTAACTGGACTCACTAAGCTGAAGGCATCCGGTCAAGCATCCTCGCCATTTGGCACGCTGTCGTGTTACGTTGCACTGCTCGTATTCGACTCTCTAGCCAGTTAGTTGGAACGCATCGGTATCTTGGCACAACCATCCAAATATACTATTCCATCCGACTACACTATCGTCTTCTTCCTTGGTCTCGTATTCGTGTGTATATAACAAGTCCGAATAATTAGTGATTGGTCTTTT